GCCATCCGTTACTTTGCGATGTAGGAGAATGAACATGTTATTATATAGAACATGTTATGTGCAGCTTCAGAATAGTCATTAGGTGGTTGGAAGTGTAATTATATGAAATGAAACTGTGATGATGGCACTTTGTCACAATGAGACTCAAGTATTCAGCGTTCTGTTATAGATTTCGATCAGCGAACTTTTTCAACAATCTGAACATCACTTTGTGTGGAAAGGTAAACGATAGGTATCCACAGTTCAATGAATTTCCAGTATTGTCACTGAAAGCATTACACAAATTTCCCTCAAATATTTGTTCAGTCAGGATTTCTTTTACAATCGCCTTCTGGTCACAGTATTTTTGCCACTACAAATCCTGGTGCGTTTTGTTACGAGGCCTTCGCATTCTGTTATGGCACTCAGATTATTGTTTTTGCTATATTCTAGGAGTATACAAATACATCCCCACAGTATTACGTTATATAAAAAGTAAATCATGCGAGAATTACGATGCTAACTTTGCATTCATCGTCAGGTCGAAGAACACATTAAACATCTTGAAATGGTACTATACATTTCTTTCAGACATTTTTTTTCTGGAAATCCTTGCAGAACAACCACGCTTTGAGCTGTTTCTCATAGGTTGGTACTGTGTGCATTGGAGAAGGACTGCATGGCACCTCCAGGATCGCAACGTTTTTGCAATTTTGGCAGTGACCGTTTCATGCAATACGCCGAATGTCATCGGTAGGTACTTAGGAGATACTTTCAGATGATTGAGCAGGAAATAATGTCAGCTAACAAGCACCTAGGTTCGATGTGAACCTCGATCTCACGTTGTTTGGAGAAACTGACAATATTAAGCCCAAAAGGACTTGATTTGCGAGGACATAGATCACAAATCTCTATTCTGATATTTTGATTTATAAAAGCGAACAAGAACTGAAAGACGGCACGCTACTGAGCCATTCGATAGAATTCTATCAATGCCGTTGAACGGAACTCGTATTGACGATATTCACATACGTGGTAAATGCGCTTATATGAAATTTGATCAAGATTACAGCTAAGTCTGTCTGCCAGTCTTTCTGTGAAGATATGTAGCACGTGCGGAAATGCTCCTTATGATTAGGTGTCAAAATGAAGGTATGCCAGCGTAGGTAGAAGAGAAGAGTGCGTCCTCTCACTCATGCACTGTAACAATGAGGCTCTGTGTGGCCGTACCAGTAGTCGCAGTTTTTCCAAGAAATATGCACTTCTCAGTCAAGTAGCTACGGTATTTTTCTTCAAATCAATGAGAATCCGCCGGTTCTGTTGTTTGGCTTCCTGTATGTACTTTCTGGTATAGGTTTTCGGTCTAATCACACGTCCGGGGTGAATAGTGATAGAATCGAAAGAAGATTTCATTGAGAAACCAGTGTAATGATGTAAAAAAGTGTTTTCAACGTGGATAATTCGCATGAGCTCAGTTCTTCTGGAAGTGGAAGATTTCTTAGCGCGTTCTTCACTGCCATTTTCTTTTAAAAACGTTGGAAAGAAGAACAACGAGACTCGGAGCTAACTAGGAGTTCTTGCCGATTCACTCTAATAAAGTAATATTTGACCATAGATGAAGTAAGGTAAGAACGTAGAAAGCATAATAGCATGATACAGTTGTCACCTGGTTGAGTGGTTCGTCACGTATTCGTGGGAACACCGAGCCTTTTTATATCCTTTCAAACAATGGAAGGGTGAAGCAAGCGTGAGCGCTGTCACTGCTGTACTTGCTTTCGGTACATCAAATCTAGCCTAGAAACGTTGTCGTTCATTAAACTGTGTAAGTCTAGTAAGGAAGCGCTGACCCAGATACCATATGTACGACGAATCGTTACAAAATTGGGAAGTACTCACATTTTGACCCTCTCTTTTGACTCAACCGTTGTCAGTTTCACTCCCATATGTAAAAAAGCATTGCCTCACAGTTGCTGTGACGTTGTTTATGAAACTGAACACGCACACAAAGACATAGACAGCGTTCTATATGTACGTGGTTCAGACTGATTCCGCGCAACGAGAATGGAGGGTAATCAAATAGTGAAATTAGAAACGCATTCACCTTACGGTTTTCTGTAGGTTGTGAACAGTCCCAGGTAACGGCTTGATCAACAAAATACTGAAATTCTTCCATTCTCTCCCCAAATAACAAGGGAGGTCTTTCAGGGCAAGGTGCGCTTTTTCAAAACGGTTTTGTGCATATTGTAGGGACGCATGTAGGGAACGCAAAACCATGTTTCATTTTCGCTGAACGGTTATAGCAGTACCAAAAAAGAAGCATAAGGTACTGTTAAGGGTTCGATCCCCCGTGGCGACTAAATTTTGCATTTGGGTTGGCGCCTACGGTTTGGTGCCAAATCGCGCTAAATATCAAAATCAGATGTCAAATTCATCGTCAGGACCATTTTGAAGCCAACAAGTGGCCGCCAACCTTGATTGCAAAATTTAGTCGCCGCGGGGGATTGAACCATCAAGAGTATTATTCACCACTTTTTTGGTACTACTAAAACCGTTCAGCGAAAACGAAACATGGTTTTGTGGTCCATACATGCGTCCCTACAACATGTACTAAACCGTTTCCAAAAAGCGCACCTTGCCCTGAAAGACCTCCCTTGTAAGATCTGCTGTTGATTTTATATAATGTGCAGGACACTACGTATCTAGTTA